GCGCCCGCACTCCGTACCTGGATCAGGCCTTGCTGGAACAAGGCGCTGTGCACGCAGCCGGGGACCTCTCCAGACAGCTCCAGAGAGCCGTTGCCGCTGCGGATGCTCCAGCGTCCCCCCAAGCCGTAGCTGCGCTCCTCCGCAGTGGAGCCCTCAAGCCACAACGCGAGCAGCAGGAGAAGGTAGAGGTGCATGTCGGGGGCCGGCGCCGCGGAGACGCAGAGCGATCGCATCCCGGGGCGGCAGGGGACCTGCGGAGAAGCCACACGTCACCTTACAAGCAGCCGGGGGCTGTGGCTGTCCCCGCCCATGGCCCCCCGGGCTCCGGGCCCCGGCCCCGCCCCCAGGTCCGCCGAGCTCTCTCCAGCCGCGCAGCCGGCGGGTGAAGAACCGCGGTCAGCTGGGGCGCCGCCAGGAATCCCGGCGTCGCGGGGGCGGGAGCTGCAGCCGGCGAGCACGGCCTGTGCCCTCCCTCGGCGCTCCTCAGATACAGTGGGAGGCAGGAAGCCTGCGCGGTAACTGGGACTCACAGATCCCTGGGCGCAAAGTGGCGCAAAGCCTCGGGAGATCGGGCCCCACTGTATGTGGAGATTACAACCAGAAAGGCTCCTCACTCCGACAGCCCAAGAGGGAGACAACTCACTACTTCCGTTCCCCAAAATGTATGCAGAAGCTCCTCCACGCTGCAGGGGTTCGCCTGGGAAGGAGGGTAACTCCCACCTCCTGCCGAAAGCCCTGAAAGGGTGAACAAGTGCTAACAGTACCTAATTCCTAGGCTGGCTGGGGGGGCTGAGAAAATGGTCTACAGCAGGTAATATGGGGCTTGGCCCAGGGAAGGCACAGCACGTTACTATTGTTAGGAGCTGCTTACGTCCTTAGGTTTCATAAAGCCCCACCGGGGAGGTTTCTGGGGTTGCAGAACCTGCACTAGATGCTCAGGTGAATTTAAAATCCTCCGCACTCACTAGCTCACTAACTCACTGGCTGTGGGACCTTGCGCAAGCTGCAAAATCTCCAACACCTGTTTTCTGAACTCGAAAATGTAGACAGTTACTCCTTTTTCAGGTTATTATAAATATAAAATGAGTTAACATATATGATCGTCCCTAACGGTGTCAGAGTGCCCGAGAAATACCACAAAATTATAGCCAATCTGAGTCCCATTCTTGGAATAGGATGTAGTAACAGCGGTCCTAGGAAGTTGAGAGGGAATTTCACATTTAGTAAAATAGGCTGATTTATTCCGGGTTAATATTATTTGCCTAATTATACTTAGGAAGAAGTCCTTGAAGAGAAGTTCTCCTCTCATCTAATCCAGGCTTTGTTTTTCGCCTTATAATGGCCCTGAAATTATCTACCCCCTAGGCCCAGAACAACGTTTTGCTTCCACACAGTCGGCGTTGCTTACAACTCCAGCAACTTGGCGTTAGGGACCGTATCCAACCCAAGCCCCTGGCTTTAGGCTGAGGGAACTGGGTCTACAGAGGTTAAGTGACTTGCCTGTCCCACAGTGGCAGACGTCATCAGAACCCTCCTCTCCTGGCTTCTATTCTCCATTCAGCAGATTATTACAGGGAGGAAGAGCCTTCCTTACGCCTGGAGCATTTTTGCTTTTGGTAAGGACAAATCTCTCACCTCGAGTAACACGTCATAATTCGTGGCACTTACTGGGCAGCCATGGTCTGTGCACCACCACCACCAAGGCTTATGGCAACAAGAATGGGAACGGAATTTTTTCTACATCCCAGAAATTCTGTTAAACCAAATCACACACACACAAATCATCTTAGCCAATATAATGTGGA